AAAAGAGTGATGCTACTATATCCTCAGCTACAAAGCTGAGCAAAACATGCTGCAATCTGAGGTTGAGCCACACCGTGTAACTATTGCAGAAGACGAGGATGCAAGTGTTTTTACACGGCAGGGAGTCGAAGAATGGGAACGCGAAAAATGGGTGCATGGTCTTTCTAAGGAGCTCGACAATATGAAGACCAAAGGCGTTCTCATCGAAGTAGACGCTGACATGTACCCTGACGTCAGGTCAGTCCCAAGCAAGCTTGCGCTGCGAAAGAAGCCGATCCCGGACAGCGAGACCGAGGAGCCGAGAAATGTTGGAGCTGCCGAACTGGCAGAGATAATCAAGAGGGCCTGGGACCCACGGGTGCGCCTCGTCGCTTGCGGCAATTTCGAGCGCGGATCCAAGGCTGGGGATCCAGCAAATTATTCCGCAAACCCGGGACCCGACCTGATGCGCATCCTCATCTCACTCCTCGCCAGAAACCGCAAGGCATGGTCCGCACTAGTGCTTGACATTTCTTGTGCGTTTCTCAACGCGCCATTGGAGACAGCAGAAGAAGGCAAAAACCCAGTCTTGATCCAGCCGCCAAGCATTTTACACCGGCTTGAACTGATTTCGCGAGGCATTATATGGCTCGCCGCGAGAGCAATTTACGGATTACGTAAATCACCCAGACTTTGGGAGCAAGAGCGCAACAGCGAGCTAAATGACGCCCAGCTCTTACCAGAATCCCAGGACCAGCTTGGCGTCCTCACCTTGCGAGAGGTGACCAGTGGCTTTTGGATAATCCAGGACTGCCATGGAAGCTTGGTGGGGGGGGATGATGATGTACGTGGATGATGCCATCATCACCGGGCAACCTGAGCTGATTTGGCGAGCGCACCGCTTTCTTCGTAACTTGTGGGACCTCAAGGTCCAGGGCACGCTGAGCAACGAGTATCTTGGTTTGGTATCTGGGCAATCCTTTGAGTTGGATAATGGCTCCACAATCGTGAAAGACGAGCTCACCTATTTGGGCTTTCAAATCCAGCGTTGCGACAGTGGAGTGGCAGTTCACCAGCAGAACTGGCTGGATGCGGAGATGAAAAAGAGGGCCTGGCTGAATCTTCAGGGCACTGACACTCTGCCGGAGGTAGAGGAAGGAAAGTGGCCGCCGATGGGCAAAGATGCTGGGTACAGAGCGGCTCTGAAAGAGTGCCAGTCGGAGATTGGTTCGCTTCAATGGGCTGCTTTGAGATCGCGTCCTGATGTCAGTGCTGTGGTGGGCATGCTTGCAACGATGATGACAGTGGACCCCGTGAAGGTGCTTGCTCTTTCCAAACGCGTTTGGAGATACCTGAAGGGTACTTTCACATACAAGTTGCTGTATAAGTACTGCGACAACTTCGCTGACAAAATTCATTACTACGGAGATGCTTCATTCGCCACAGGGGCCTCAAGGTCTGGATAGGGGCAAGTGCCAGGTTGCTCATCCTGGAGACTCAGTGACTGGTCCCGAGCTTGCTTTGAGATGGGGTTATGCCCACGGCACTTCACTGAAGACTTTGGGTGTGCGCATTGACATGCATGGCGACTGTCAGGCTGCTCTGCTCAAGTTCACCATGGACCTCGCTAAGCGGCGGTTGAGACTCATTGGTGTGGTGGCCGACTGGCTTTGGCAGCGGCGCGTTCACATTGCGTCCTTGGCTACTCCTTTGTTCACGTGGGCAGGCGCCTATGCTACCGTTTCGCTTGCTGAGGCTAAGGAGCTGCGCAAGGCGGTGGTTGGGCTTGGTGCCAAAGGAGCGCTCCGGGATCGTCCACCTGTACTTGTCCTTGAGCAACTTGGTTGGCGCTCCGACCCCATCTTCATGCGCAGGTGGGCCGTGCTGGCGGAGGTGGTGAGGCTCCAAGGTGATCCTCGCCCGTGGCGACACTGCTCCGATCGCTGTTGCTGGCCAATCGTGGGTGAGGGCACTACCTGCTGCTGGATTGGTGCTGCGCGAGTTGGGATGGTTCCACGAGCAGGAGGGCGGCGTCATTTGCAGATGGGACGTTGGCGGCATCAAGCGGTGCTTCCGGCTCAACTTGGACTCTGCTCAGGCGCTGTTCGAGTGGCTGGCGGACTGGCATCGGCGCTCCGAGCTCCGCAGGTGTGGGCGCGTGGCCAAGTCCTACCATCGTGTTGACCAAGATCACTGTGGACGTGGGCAAGCTCTACCTGGCGTGTTGCGTGATGCCTTGTGCCTTTTCCGCGGTCATCTGGAGGCGTACCGGCATGGCGACCTCACCACGCGCCAGCTCGCCTTAGCTACTGGCTGCTCGGGCTGGCACAAAGCCAAGAAGCTTGGTTTGGACGCTCCGCCGCCTTGCCTTTGTGGTCTCCAGGATCCAAGTCGGCCTCATCTTCTTTGGGAATGCCAGGCAACACGACACCTGTGGGATCCCGAACTCCGTGCGACCAACCGAGTTGAGGAGAGGCTGCTGGCCTAAGTTGTCCCCGAAGTCCCGGCGCCTCCGTGCGTCATTGATGAGAAGGGCTTCCTGCAGGACCTCACCCAGGACGTTGAAGGCGCCCTCGTAGGCCAGGAGTCGATTCTCATGGCCACGGACGGCTCTGAGGTCACCAACGTTGCGGCCTGCTCCATTGCCGTTGAGGGCAAGGGTGACCATGCCATTGGCATTGCCGGCGAGGACCAGTCGCCCTGCACGCCCTCCTGGTCTACTTGGTGACGGCTCTTCTTCGACTGCGTGTTCGTGGTCGTGTGGTTGTGGCTGTTGACTGCACTGGAGTCCTGGATGCTGTTGAGGGCCCGGGCCACCTGAGGTTGCCGTGCCACTTCTTGGTTGCTGGGCTCTTGCGCCTGCATGAGCGGGGCCTGCTTTTGGAGTTGCATTGGATTCCCTCTCATGGAAAGCCGCTCCCGACAAGATGGACTCCGCCCTCTGGCTTCAATGAGCACCGGATGAGGAGGCTCAACGAGCGTGCTGACCTGGCTGCCCGTGAGGCGGCTACACTTCGTGCTCGGGGCTCAAGACGCCAGATGTGCTTTAATGCACGCCTGGCTGCGGCTCGCTGGGAGTCCAAGGTTCTTGCACGGGCTGCTGCTGTGGCGGCCCACTTTGACCTCCAAGGTTAACTGAGCTTTGCCGGCTTGCAGGACATGACTCCGTCGTGGCATCCTGCTCGTCGACTAAACAACAGCTCTCTAGAAGTGGAACCTGGATGCTTTGGGGAGCACGTCCTCTCCTGGAAGTCCAAGCGTCAGACCATCTGTGCCTGGAGTGCGTTTGAGGCAACGAAAGGCTGGAGATGATCTTGTACAGCGACAACGCAGCCTGCGTTATTAATCTGGTCAGAGATGATGGGGAGTGCCTCACTGCCAGAACCAGAGCAGTTGGGATCAGGTGCTCTTACTTGCGTGACCAGTGCGTGACGGAGGGCTTCGATATCCAGCATATGGCAGGGTCAGAGCTGCCAGCATATCCGCTCACAAAGATTCTTCGGCGAGCTGAGCTTGCAACCGCAAGAACGAAACTCAGTTTGGTCGTAGTTTGACACGTTTGCACTACGTACGCATTCTTTTGAGTTGACTAATGGTCTTGAGATCCAGCAGTTGACACCTAGTGTTTCAAACCGGATTTTACCGAAGGAATAGTCCAGTAGGATCCGTAATTAGAAGTGAGTATGTCTAGGGGTGCCTGAGCCGCTGTAGGTGTGTCCACTGGGACGAAAGAACTAATGAGCCTCGAAACAAGAAAGAAGAAGACCGGTGACGGGGCATCCGGCAAAGAGCCCACCAGGCGGGTCGTGGCACGCTGTTTTGTCTTGAGAAGCGGCTGTAGTTAGGACAACGCATTCCCTAGATATGTGCAGGTTTAGTGCTGATGCATCTGTGAGCCGCGCTCCGGCTTGTGCAGTCGCACGAGGAGGAGTGTGATTGCATACAGCACAAATCAAGAAGTTACCAAGCACGGGCTTCGAAGCATGGCCCCTGCGCAAGTGAAAGACACGCCATACCTATGGCTCAAGTGTGACGCATAAAGTGAGGTGCACAGGGTCGTAGGGTTCCTCCCCAGGGTTACTTCTGCAGTAGCTTCAGGGTTGGTTCAGGGCGGAGGACAGGAGGTCAGGCACTTGCGGAGGCTCGATGTTCGGGTTTTCCTTCGGAGCTTGAGTTGATCCTCGTAGGCTATGGCTCAGCAGTATAGCCATCTAGATGATGTTCCTCATAGTGTGAGGCAGGCCCTAGCTAATGCTAGTCCGGCTTTCTCCGTGGTTACTGACTCTACGACTCCTGAAACCCTCATGCAATCACAAACACTACCACCTACATATATAGGCCTCTGTATGTGGCATGTTTGCCCAACCGACAGGGGGAACATGAAGCCAACCCGGAACCCAGACTGCTACACCCGAAATCCTGAACCTCCTTGAACCTCTAAACCCCAGACCCTAAACTCAAAATCCGAAGCCTTACTGTAACCCTGCACCTTCAAACAAGCCCAAGCCCTGAATCCTTAACGCCCAGGAACTGTGGCAGCAGCCCCAAGCATAACGTCGCCAAGTCCTGCCTTGCAGACATAGGAGCCTCGCTGACTCTTCGCAAAGTTTAGGCTTTGGGGATCACATCGCGGGATACTCAACCTGTTTTAAGGTTTAGAAGCTTAGATTAGATGGCCACAAGGGAAACCGATGTATCCATGTTACGGTCAGGCGACCGCATGAGAGCCTCCAAGCGCAGGTGTGCAAACAAAGTGCGAATGCGAACCAAGGGGTGTGGGGGGATTCACGTGGATTATGGCCCACATGAACCTGCTTCAGGACACTTGACGGAGGGGTAACGTGTAGGAATGATACCGAAGACTAGCACCAGCCACAATGAAAAGAAAGCAGTAGAAGAAGATCAAGCGAACATGTTAAAATTGACATTGAAAAACGCCTATGCGCATCACAAGCGCTATCATCCCGTGCCGTGTGCTACTGAATACAGCTGTACACTCTCGACAGCCAGCAAAATAGCGTCTAGTAGACGAGGCCCCGGCGGCGGTGGTAGGCAGTGAAGCGCTCCACCAAGATCTGGGTGAAGTCCACCTCTGGGAGAGTTCTTGGATTTTAGGGCGTAGGTACATCGTTTTTGCATCGCAAAGTCCAGGGTTTAGGGTTCAGGATTTCCACTTTAAGTTTCAGTCGCGCTATGAAAGCTTCTCGAACGGTGAATCAGGGATGAACCTGCTCGAAACCCTAATTCCTAAGGAGAAGAACACATTTCGAGATGCTTAGGGTTCCAGCTGGACAACAGGCCAAATCAGTAAAGGAGACAGCCATGGAAACCATTAGGTACATGGCTTTCGGCACGTTCCATCACCACTGGCAAAGAGGATTCTACCAAGTGCATTATATGAAACAATAGATTTCCACAGCCTTCCAGCAATTTGAAAATTGAAGAGTCCCGATACCATGACCTCGCCTCGCCATCCATGAAGACGTACCTCCAAAACTCAGTTTGAGGTTTAGGGCTTGAACACTTTCTCTGGGTTTGGGAGTTGGTTTACAATGTTTAGTCTGCGCGCTTAGGATTGAGGGATTGATTCAGCAGGTATGGCCGCAGATCTGAAAGCTCCATGTGTGCCAAATATACCTCAAAGCGGCTCTGGTGGCACGTAGACATCCTCAAAGATCGTCATTGTCTCCTGGACTCTGCAAATCCAGGAAGTTGGCAACTTGACTCTTCAGTAACTAAGCAAGTCCCAGTTACTGCAGGGATCTGAACTTACATGTTCATGGAAAGCTCTCAGCGCAGTTGCAAGTGTCCCAAACCAATTTGCAGCTTGCCGAACCACGGTTATGGTCACCCATAAGTCTATAAGAACCACTGGAAGCAGTCCCAAAGACCCAAGCTTGAGCTGCTTCGTTCGTGCACGCCAGGATGCCTGCCCACCAAACTTGGCGTTTCCCTGGTCAATGTCCCCTGAAGGCGTGCTAGGCTTCAGGTCACACCCATTGAGGATGTTAAGGTGCAGGCTAGAGGTTTCAGAGGGCATGTTGGAGATCGACCAACCCGCTGGAGGCATTTCAGGCTTGGTCGTACCTGCAGAATTATGCAGGCTTCCTTGCAGTGAACCATGCTGTCCCAGCCACAGATCCTGCTCAGGGCTCTGGTGCAGAAAAAACTGGCCGCAATGAAGATTCTCAATTGCACTCTGGATCCCCAAGTCCTAAGCCGCATCTTCCTAATTCAAAACAGGCTTCCTCCAAGCCATGAACCCAAAATCCTGAATCAAGGAATCCTAAACACCTAACTCTGAAGCCCTGGATCCTGAACTCTGCATCCCGAAGCTCCAGAGCTCCAAGAAACTCCAAGAGCCAAGCCAAGCTACCCGGCTCCATCGCACGCAGGTCGCAGCTCTGGCGCCCGTAGACGTAGGTGATGCCTTGCCAGTTCAGCTGAAGCTGAAGGCTTTCTCGAAAAGAGCTCTGCGGCATTGGGCGGGGATATAAGGTAATATAAAGCTTCCGAGGTTTAGGGCTTCTCGAGATGACAGGTGATTTTTCAGGAGACTCTACGATAAATAACTCTTGCCAGTCTGATGGTTGGACCACTTCTTTGAGAAAAAGCCAGCTTGCCGAAACAAGCATGCTACTTAGCATGACAACATATGAGAAGTATAAAGCTGATGAATATTTGCTTGTCTGTCAACACGGTAGATTGATAGCACAAATTCCATCCCCTCAAACCACCCTCCAGCTTCCAACGTGGTGGAGTCTTGTTCTCCGGAAAAGGCATTAATCTCGTGGGTTTTGAAAGCTGAGACAACAAAAATCATTGGAATTCACCAGGACTACTGCTTCCCAAATTGTTAGAAACTTAGGTAGAGACCTGTATGAACTAGGAACCCCATTTTAAAGCTCCGCATCAAGAACTGTTGTAATCGGATGATCACATGCATGGATCGACATTATGAACTGCCATTAGCTTTCAGGACCAACTGGTGTGATCCGCGACAGCAGCTAGTCGCTTGTAGCCACTGCCGCGGCTACAAACATGGCAAATAAAGCGCGCGCAATTGGATTTTAGCCGACTTGGCATCGCCTCAGCCACTCAAGCCTGCTTGGATACCTGCCAGATTCCTGATCCCACCTGCACAAAGTACCAGTACCCTGATGTTGCTCTGTTCTCTTTCCCTGGCCGTCCTTCCCAAAAGCTCTGCCATTATGTCTCAGACTGACTAGAGCAGAATGAACATCCCTGTTTGCGTTTGCCCTGGAGTCCTTGCCTGGTCCTGATGAGAAGGGGGCAATGGATTGGAAAAGCAGTGGACGGGATATGTGGAAACAACAAGGGATGAATATTGGCCCCAGTCCCTGCATGTGCCTGTTGAGAACCAGAGCGCACACCCATCCTAAACCCAAAGCTTTTTAAGTAAGAGAGGGCCTGGAGCATCAACAGGCACCGCGCAGGACACTGCGTAGTCCTGCAGTGCGGAGCGAGAGCTTCAGAGTTCAAGCATTTGGTTTGGGGGTTTTCAGGCTTTGAAAGACTTAGGATTCTTGTTGGTACGATCTTGGCTTCTTGGCGGGAATGCACACTCATATCATGATGCCGTATGGTTAAGCAAAAACCAAGCTGTGACTCAGAGCCAGAAAAACATCACAACCTCCCAATCTCAAGAATGTTCGTCTCCAAGCCATATCTGGTTTACCGCTAAACCCGCGAACTCAGGTTCTCCTTGTCGGCCGGATCCATTTTGCTGCCCGGCATCAAGATCATCCAGTGGGAGTTGAGGTTCCCAGTCCTGGTTGCAAACCAGGGTTTGAAAGCCTTTTGCGGCTGCCATGCATATGCAAGCCTATTGGGACTATCGTGCAAGGATGCTCTTTCGGCGCATGACCTCAGCCTCCAGATACATGGCCAAAACAGCATGCGAAACTGGCAGGTGCTTGAGTCTCAGCACGTCGTTCTTGCATGCTAGAACGCTGTGTCTCAATTGATTGAGATTCATCTGGGCTGAGGCCTTAGGATTTGGGCTTCATAGTTTAGGGGTTTGGGCGTTTGCTATTGATGTCAGAATATTTCGGCCAACAGACAAGGCGCCCATGAGTGCATCCAACCCAAGTATAGATGAACCTCGAACAAGATGTATGGCTTTAAAGCGCAGGGCCCGACGAAGTCCCAAAACCTTCAGTACCTAAATCCTCTGGCTCTCATCAATGAAGCACTGTACTACCTGGTGCATAGGACGAGTCGGGAACAAAGGAATGAATCCCTTCCCATAGTGGGCTGAGGCTTGGCTCCCCAATTTCGATCCCCCTAATGCACTTAGTCATCCCAAGCAGTTCCCTACACCGCAAGCCCTGAAAAGCTGTAGCCGAGTGACTGATGAGCTTTGCAGCCCCGCAAGACGATGCCACCATTGGGCTTACGCTCAGCAACGCGGACGAAGAGGTCCGGGTCCTGCCACACATTCTCGGGGTTTGGCATTTAGGGTCAGGGTCGTAGGTTTGGAGCTTTGGGTCGTCTTGCAGGTTAGTGGGTCTGAGGTTTGGGCCCGTACAAAGAAATACAGCCCTTCAACAAGCCCAGCCTCCTGCTGGGAGGGATTCAAGCTGCGGTCACCTCCAGAGCATTCAGGGCTTGCAGGTTCAAGTTCGCTGATAGATACTTCTGAGTTGAAGGGTAGAAGGGTTGGCGACATAGTACGGGCAGCCATGGTATACTCTAACTTGGGATCCTGACACACTACTTATAACTAACTACCCATGAACCTTCCAAGTAGGAACCCTCCAGCTTTCAGACCCCAGGCAGGCAATCATCCCCCCTTAATGAACACACCCCACCCTCACCAACGACAAGAATCCCACAAATATGGTGGTACTACATGGCAAATGTTAAATATCCGGGGGTCAATTTCATTAAAGCTGCAATTTAGGGTGTGCAAAATCAACCCAAGTGGCAAGGTAAAGGCCAGGAACGATTTCAGCTTCAAACTGAAGGTATAGGGCTTAGGGCCGAAAACATGATACTATATACTATAACATACTATAATATGCGATAATATAAGATAATATACGACAATATACGATAATATACTATAATAAACAGTATACTATAATATAGTACAATATTAACCATCTGTCTATAGCCAAGCGCAACACCTTTCACGTCAGTCATCGCACCGCCGAGCACCCAATTCTTGCTCTGCGCAAGCTTCAAAAAGTCCTCGTGGCTTTCGGGTTGAAGATCTGGAGTGCTGCGGGTTGAGGACTTGAGAGTATGCTTTCAGGGGACTCTGTACCATCTCCCAAACCCCAACAAACCCCAGATACCCCAAGAGTCGCCGCTGGGCTATTGACTTGGCATTACTGAAGGCGGGCTTACAATTCAAAACTAGGTTGTGGGTTCCACCTATCTTTAACTACATAGCTATGGTATGGGATAGTCTCCCTAATCCATGCTCTTGACTATTTAAAAACCCCCCAGGCTTCAAGAAGACGATGTTAATCAAATTAGGCGTCCAACAGCACTTTGAAGGCAGAGGCCGGCTTGAGTCCAAGAATCCTAGATTTAAAGAAAAGCATTTCCAGACACTGGAAACCAATGAAGTCCTTTCTTAATCATAAGATCAATCTAAAAGGTCTAGGGTTTAGTTAAAGCTTGAATCTCAGGAAGGTATTGATGAATCACTTGGCCGCTCTTAAAATATCTAAACAAGAGCTGATTCTGAGACCGGTTTTGCTGACTAAAAATTAATGGGAATTCAGGGCTCAAACATTGCTTCCTGAGCTACCCCTTGCAGTCCTTGCGTGAGAGGATCTTTCTTTGCATGTATTGAAAACCCCTGAAATAATAGCAATTTTTTCACCTCGTTATAGAGACCTGCTTGCTAGGCTGGCCTTCAAATCAGAAAAGGAAAGCTTATTCGGGAGCCTGATTTGCTTACCAAAGCTACTCTTAAATAAGGGAAAGAGAGCTGATTCTGGCGCCTGGTTCGCTTTAAAAATCAAAGGAATCAAAGACTCAAACACCGCTTCCTGAGCTACTCTCCATGGACCTTGCGTGATAGGACCTGTCTCTACATTTATAGAAAAACCAGCTAGGACAACAGCAATTGTTTAGAGTCAGTATGTTTAGAGTCAGTAGTTCAGCACCTTTTGAACTGAAATCTATGTACAAGCGCTTACGATCAGACGAAAACCTTTTCGAAGCCAATTCGAACTTAGCTCAAAACTTCTCAAATCTACGGAAGAAACAAAACCTTCCAAGATCCACGAAAGTGACACTGCACATCCTCAGCACAGTCTTGCTCTTACCTCTTCCTCTAGCCTTTACTACTTCAGCCTAACTGTACTGCTTGTACTTAACATAATTTACTTCACCGTTTCGGATCTCGGATCCTTGAGTAATGGGGCTCAGGCATCTTTCATGGAGGGATCCGGGGACCCCGCTACTAATCAAGAGCGCGGGGCAGCTCTTGAGACTTCTAAAGTATGTCAACGTTGGCTGCCGTTGCCGGTGCCAAGGATTTTCTGGCTCGACATAGACAAGCGACGAAGAGCTCCGCACACCCTGGACGATGTGCAAACCCCAACAGTCCCATGCTACCTATACCCTCCTCCAGACGTCCTGAAAGCGCTTGTGGTAGTTTGTGCCGAACCTGAGTGCAGATTGTTTCTTAGGGTTTGGCATTTTCGGGTTTCAGGAAAGCTCCTTCAGAAGCGCGGGTACCTCTGACATTGACAACCGACTGCTTTTCAACAAGAGAGTCTCAATAAATGCGCTCAAGATGCTACAGTTTGAAATACTGCAAGAAGTTTGCCTGTAATTTTGAGAAACCCAGCAAACTGATTGCAAATGTCTTCAAGGCAAAAAGTGCGACAGCGAACCCTTGCAACATCATTCCAGTACGATAATCTGGTTCTTCGTTCCCTCTGATGCATCATGACTCTTTCCAGGGCCAGCAAGGCTTGCTTAACTGAGCCAAAATCAAATAGAGTACACGCGGTCTGAGGCTCTGGCACCTATCAATCCCTGCAAGTCCTGGGCCCCGCAACGCAGGTTCCCGCCACCACGAACCAAGAGGAACAGCAGGAGTAAGACAACAACCTTTGGATCATAGGCTCCTCGCTTACTCAAGGGTCCCCAAACAGGAGCCCATGACTTTGCATTTGCAAAAGCGCCAATGAGACTCCTTCAAGTTTCCTTGGTAGAGAGATACCCAGCCTGCACCCGTGTACAGAGCTTACAAACATTGGCAGATTACAGGTATTGGCAGAAAACAAAGGGCCTGTGTAAGGCTGACATGGCGGAACCTGCCACGAGGAAATTCACGAGCCCCGGCTCTAGACCCCAATTCCTATCGGCATAAGAAGTCCGGTAGCTTCTGGTCAATGTCATAGGTCGTGGACCACATGGCCTGACTTGCCAGAGGGCGCAAGGGTGCAGGGCTTAGAGGTCAGGTTTAGCGTTCAGCTTAAACTGTAAAGTGGAGGGTGAACGCCTTACACGTGCTTTGAAGGCCGAAACTTTTTCTTTCAGAGGCTAGGAGAAGTGAATTTGCAAAAACTGTGTAGTCCCTCGTGTTGCAAGGGCCCTTTCAGAATGAGGATATATGTTCATGGATGTAATTTGGGCACATTCAATTGGTCTCAAGATATCTGCGCTAAATCGTAAGCTCTTCACCTCAAATCCAGAACTTTTTGAAGCACATTGAATTTCAACAAATCCAGAAAACCCTAAACTCAGAGATTTCCAAACAAATTGGGCTTTGGGAACCCCAAGCACAAAGATCTCTCATGCCAATTGGCCTTCCCCAAAATTTGCCAAGCTGCGTTCGATGCATCCTGGCCTACGCAGCGCTGGAAGCAAGTTCCTGAAACAGTCGAAGCTCAAGTTGCCGGTGTCGGCTTTGGGGTTAAGGGCGTACAAGTGCGCATATGGCTCAACGTGCGATTCAAAACTTGGAGGTTTTTGCCTTCTTCTCTTCTTTACACTGCGAGGGATCAAAAAGTCCTGCAACTGCGACTGTCACGCCATTGGGCCTTGAATCCGCAATAATTCTGAATACCACCGCATCAGCATGGATGAGTGAGAACGGTCATGCAAGATGAAAGTTTCTCAAAAACGAGGGTCCTTTTACCTACCCTGAAGAAAGAATGCTGGGTGGTCAGGCCTGTCCGGCGCCCGAGCTCTCGCTGCATCTGGGACTGCAAGACGAGGTCATCAGCAGACTCGCAAATGTGAAGGAACCTCCAAACCCCACAAAGCTCATACGGGAGTTTCTGAGAATCGCGGAAAGCCTCAAGGGAACCGAGGGTAACGATATATCGGGATTACAAGTGGATGATAAGGCGTACCAATTGGCATCTCAGTGGGGCTTTTTGAGAAACATCTCAAGTGCTCATTATTGAAACGCTTATCGGCTTGATGCCTCTCCGATGGCCTGTGAATTTTCCTACCACATTGTCATGGTCAGTAGATCTATGCCACGACCTCTAGAGGGCCTCTTCAATTTGGCTCGGCTAACCTCCAAGGAGATCTTCATGATGTTTTTCATCTTAAAGAACGCTTGGGGCATCCTACGCTAGGTCTTGCATGAGATCCAAGCTCCCAACAATTAAGATTGGGTCTTGAGCTGCTGTCACAGCCGTTTAAAATGGATGTGCGGACACGGGCCCGATGCAAAGCCCACAAAACCTCCATCCCGCAACATCCAAGTGAATGTTCACATCAGATAGTCAAGCAGGATCAATCCGCACTCTGATCAGCATGGGGTTTCGGCTGCAGATTTAGTGGGGTAGGCAACTGAAAGAAACATCTTGATCTTGGCTAGACTTGTGAAACAGCCCTCCAAAACCTTTCTCTCAAAGACCTACAGCCCAAAACATAAAACCCTGTGCTTGATTGCTTCCAGGCGCCTGCTCATCCTGTAGCCACCTTGGCCAGCAAGATTTCTTGCTGCCCAAGTCATGGACAGGCAGCAGTAAAGTTCCAAACTGGACTTCACAATTTCTTGCTTTTGAGTTTGGCTTTTGCAAAGCTGTTTCAGGCCAGCACAGTGCGGCTTGGCGCGACTCCTGCTCCGAACACTTGAGAGGAAAACTCAAGACTGCGAAGCCATGTCCACAGTCGACTCCTGAATCAGTACCTGAAGGCTCGTAGCAGTTCCAGGTGAGGTTCTGGCGTCCCTTGACTAAACTATAAGCGCAATCGCCTTTGGCAAAGAGTGAAGTGGAAGCAAATACTCAGGTCCCCACTGCAGCCTGAAACATCCAACCCTATGCCTCAGACTCTAAGCCCTGAACCCGAACCGAAACCCCGCGAGACCCCAAGCCCTCAGGTCTAACCGCTAAAAAACAGCACCGTCCGTCCCAGGAGCTAAATCCCACAGCGCTGCCTGGCGAGGGATTTGAAGGTGGCTTGGGGATTTAAACCTTACGGTTAAGGGTTTAGTGTGCATATCTGAGGGGTCCTGAGCTTGATTCCCGGACCCGAAAACGAGACCTAACAATAAATCCCCTGAGAGCTTGCATGGGGAGCGGAAATTGAGGTTAGTAAAGCTTTCGCAACTATGGTGATGGGAGCTTGGAATGACTGTTACTCATGAGTAGGACTGCCTCCACATCTCAACCAAAAGCCCCCTGGGCACTAAACTTGTCTCAAACCCTCAAACCCCAAAGCGAAAACCCCAGAAAGTATCGAGTCCCTGCGCGGCCTAGTTCGGGATTCTCCTGCGCAAGGCGATAGCTCTCCGCCATGGCATTGACAGAAGGCCATACCTTCCCAGACCCTCTGAACCCACCCCAATATGAACCCATTATTACTACATTAGGGAAACTAGGGGATCATTAGGGGATTCCATGTTGTGGATCCTGTAGGGGGTCTGGGTTGGCTTCAAGCTTTGGGTTCTCGAGGCTAGCCTTGAGCAGTTCCCTAGACTGGAGCCCTCTCAAGGTCTGAAGGCTTGATGCATGTTAAGCATACCCTCAGCATTAGGTGCGTGCTAATCTTGAGGCCTTGTGGATGGGCTCTTAAGTAGGCTCTAATTTGACACTAATACAAGGCATCGCTACTTTGCTTTTGTTCAAAGGGATCGCTATACGACTCTTCAGGGCCACCCCAGTAATCTGCTTCTGATCCTCGTTCATCTGTCTTAGAGTCTCTACCGTTGCAGCTGGTTTGGGGAACCTTCAGCAGCCCCAGAAAGATTTAAAGATTTGCTCAACGTCATCCCTGATTGAAGGTTCACTGTGTATTTGTATGTGGGCTTTTGGATAGTTGCGCGCGGTCTATACTTGGGATACGTATGGTCATTTTAAGCACTTAAGCATACACACTAAACACCCTGAACCGCTAAACCATCCTGAACTCTGAGCCCCGGAACCTTCGACTCCTGAACCCCAATGCTCTTGAGAGACTCTCTGTGCAGGCAAGGGGCAATGGGATGGTCAACAAATTCGGAGATGAGCTCACCTATTGGGGTTTAGGGCTGAGCGTTGATCACATATCCAAAAAAATTAGCAGGGAAGGGTGACGGCCACGGGGAAACTCTTGCTCTGGTGCAGTCCGAGGGGAAAAGTCACAGAAACTATGAACTCTACACGGTTCATCTGAACAGGTTTAACTCTCGGCGTGAGCCCCGAAACCACCAACACTTGGAACGAGCACGCTGTTGCTCTGCATCCGAATGACAAGACCTGGGATTTCTCAACATCTTGTTATACTGCAGTCCGACCTACCATACAGAAGTGATAGCACTGCAGACTGAAACTCAACCCATCATCCAACCTGTCTTGCCAAGCCTCTGAGCGCACTGGATGAGGTAGCAAGGTAGAAGCCCTCTTTCCCTGAAGGTGCAGCCCTGGGCCGATGAATTGAAATCCAAATGGAATTCCCAGATATACACTGCAAAAACCTGGGTTGCTGTCAAGGAACTTAAACTAGCTTACCATAATGGGTAGTAAGTAAGTAAGTAAGTCAGTCAGTCAGTAAGTAATAGGGCTTTCCCAATATAGCAACTTAAATTAGGCTCCTTAACAGCAACCCAG